TTGTCCTGTGTGTGTCTGAGTTGTCCTCTGTGTGTCTGAGTTGTCCTCTGTGTGTCTGAGTTGTCCTCTGTGTGTCTCTGAGTTGTCCTGTGTGTCTGAGTTGTCCTCTGTGTCTCTGAGTTGTCCTGTGTGTCTCTGAGTTGTCCTGTGTGTGTCTGAGTTGTCCTCTGTGTGTCTGAGTTGTCCTCTGTGTGTCTGAGTTGTCCTCTGTGTGTCTGTGTCTGTGTGTCTGTTTGTCCTCTGTGTGTCTGAGTTGTCTCTGTGTGTCTGAGTTGTCCTCTGTGTGTCTGAGTTGTCTCTGTGTGTCTGAGTTGTGTGTCTGAGTTGTCCTCTGTGTGTCTGAGTTGTCCTCTGTGTCTCTGAGTTGTCCTCTGTGTCTCTGAGTTGTCCTGTGTGTCTCTGAGTTGTCCTCGTCTTCTCAGGAGTGGCGTTGTTGCCGTTTGTGGACGAGCGCAGACTCCGAGCGGCTCTTGCCGATGTTTATCCAGATCTGACCCAAGAGGAAGGTAAATAAATCAGAATTCAAGAATCTTCTCTTGTTGTTTCCATGTAAATAATAATCATGTTGAAATGTTGATTTACGTCTTATCACGTCGTATTTACGACACACTTCAGCTGCTCCCGGTTTTTCTGTCATCAATAAACTAGAATAAACCAAACACTTACTTCAGAATTAAGTTTACCATATTTTTTGGCTTCTAAGGCACAATGTCAATAATGTTGAATTCTCTCATTTATTTTCATACATCAGGCGCATTAAGTGAAACAGACGACACTTAAGACTGAAGTATTCTCCCTTAAGGGTGAAGTACAGTTCTGTGTCGACTCTTCGCTCTCTGCTGCCGTCGCCTCGTCACCGTGGTTTTTGATTTATGGATCTGCGTCGAGGTTTATGCACCGCAAAATAATTCACCTCCACAACATGAGGAGGCGACGATTTAAACCTGCGTTTGTGAAAAGTTTCACATGAACCATCTCCAACACGACTGAGAGAACACCCCTCTGTCACAGAGAGAGAACACCCCTCTGTCACAGAGAGAGAACACCCCTCTGTCACAGAGAGAGAGAACCCCTCTGTCACAGAGAGAACACCCCTCTGTCACAGAGAGAACACCCTCTGTCACAGAGAGAACACCCCTCTGTCACAGAGAGAACACCCCTCTGTCAACAGAGAGAACACCCCTCTGTCACAGAGAGAACACCCTCTGACACACACAGAGAGAACACCCCTCTGTCACAGAGAGAACACCCCTCTGTCACAGAGAGAACACCCCTCTGTCACAGAGAGAACACCCCTCTGTCACAGAGAGAACACCCCTCTGTCACAGAGAGAACACCCCTCTGAACACCCCTCTGTCACAGAGAGAGACACACACCTCTGTCACAGAGAGAGAACACCCCTCTGTCACAGAGAGAACACCCCTCTGTCACAGAGAGAACACCCCTCTGTCACACACCCTCTGTCACAGAGAGAACACCCCTCTGACACAGAGAGAACACCCCTCTGTCACAGAGAGAGAACACCCTCTGTCACAGAGAGAGACACACCCCTCTGTCACAGAGAGAACACCCCTCTGTCACAGAGAGAAACACCCCTCTGTCACAGAGAGAGAACACCCCCTCTGTCACAGAGAGAACACCCCTCTGTCACACAGAGAGAACACCCCTCTGTCACACAGAGAGAACACCCCTCTGTCACACAGAGAGAGAACACCCCTCTGTCACACAGAGAGAACACCCCTCTGTCACAGAGACACCCCTCTGACACAGAGAGAACACCCCTCTGACACACAGAGAGAACACCCCTCTGTCACACAGAGAGAACACCCCTCTGACACAGAGAGAACACCCACACACTCTCTGTCACACAGAGAGAACACCCCTCTGACACAGAGAGAACACCCCTCTGTCACAGAGAGAACACCCCTCTGTCACAGAGAGAACACCCCTCTGACACAGAGAGAACACCCCTCTGTCACACAGAGAGAACACCCCTCTGTCACAGAGAGAACACCCCTCTGTCACAGAGAGAACACCCCTCTGTCACACAGAGAGAACACCCCTCTGTCACAGAGAGAACACCCCTCTGTCACACAGAGAGAACACCCCTCTGTCACACAGAGAGAACACCCCTCTGTCACACAGAGAGAACACCCCTCTGTCACACAGAGAGAACACCCCTCTGTCACACAGAGAGAACACCCCTCTGTCACAGAGAGAACACCCCTCTGTCGCAGAGAGAACACCCCTCTGTCGCAGAGAGAACACCCCTCTGTCACAGAGAGAACACCCCTCTGTCACAGAGAGAACACCCCTCTGACACACAGAGAGAACACCCCTCTGACACACAGAGAGAACACCCCTCTGTCACAGAGAGAGAACACCCCTCTGACACAGAGAGAACACCCCTCTGTCACAGAGAGAGAACACCCCTCTGTCACAGAGAGAACACCCCTCTGTCACACAGAGAGAACACCCTCTCTCTGACACAGAGAGAACACCCCTCTGTCACAGAGAGAACACCCCTCTGTCACAGAGAGAACACCCCTCTGTCACAGAGAGAACACCCCTCTGACACACAGATGTAAATGATCCATGTGAATCGGGCTTTTCTCCCTGAGGTTCTTCACTACAGCAGACGTAATTCTCCAACAATCAAACGGTGCGACTTCGTACTTCACCAAAGTCGTACTAAAACATTTTGACAGATTTTTGAGCACCGTGTTCCACAGAGAATCAGTTCAAGATCAGAGTTCAAACTTAAGGTGCACCAGATGATACGGAGCTCTGTTGATTTAGGAGAAAATTAAAGGATTTTAAGTGCCTCTTACAATCTGGAAAATACCGTAATTCTGAATAATCATTTTCATTAGGAATTAAGTGTTTACGTGGACGTTTTAAAGCGGAATTCATTTTTATTCAGAATTAAATTATTTTTTATCCATAATTAAAGTTAAGGCAGTGCTGAAGAAAAAACGAGGGAGGGGGGTGCGCGGAGATTCTGTGCGACGACGTAGTTTTTCGAGGATTCACGTGGTTCAGAGGGATGAAGTCGAGGCGGCCGCTCTAAATATAAAGTGCTACGGGAAACTCTGCCTCATATAAACCTGGAAATAAACAAGCACTTTAAATCTGTGTTATTTCTGCTCACAGACACATGTCCCAGTCCTGCGGTAAAGTCACTGAACTCTTCTCTCTTTTTTTGTTTTTCCAGTGAAGAGGAACAGTTTGGGCAGCGACATTCTGTTCCTGGGGAAATCTCACCCGCTCTTCGACTTCATCCACGAACTGTACCGCACGGAGACCGCAGAGGTAACCACGGCAACGCCATCGCCAACCACACACACACACACGCACACACACACACACACTGTACGAGTAAAGCTCCGTTCACACTGCAGCCTGAAGTGACACATCTGATTTTTTTTTTTTTTTTTTTCCGTCCTTCTGCTCCTGTATCTGATCTTTTAATGTCAGTCTGAACCACACAGATCAGATTTTTCATTCAAATGTGACTCAGGACACTTGGATCTGTGCTCCTGAAACCCAAACATATCTGATCTTTTCACATGAGACTTGAGTCTGAGCAGTCAGGTCCCATTCATCCTGAGGTTAGAGAGTTTATTCATATTTGGGTGGATCTCTGCTGGAATCAGGTGTTTTTTGAAATGATCGCCAAAGAAATGTCCGAGCGCGGCTGCAGACGGTCCTGACTCCACTGTCCACGAAAAATAAAAAGTTTGCGAGAAAACACAAGAAGGATAAAGACTCAAACAAATGAAGCGGCCGTGGACGTGTAAATTGTCAATTTTACCAAGAACTGGACTGGATTTTGAGACATGAGCCCAGAGTTTCTAGTCTGATTCATGAGCTGGTTTCACTTGGTGGAAACCGTGTGACCTCACAGCATTAGGATTCGTTCACTCGACAGTAGACGGGGACTTTTTTTTTATTGAACCAATCGCTGCTGTTTGGTCGTGATGTACGTAATGCTTCAAATCCTGTAAGAAGGACAATAACGTGACTATAACTTGATAAAATTCACCAAACATTCTCTTTGTTCCTGTTTTAAATCCTCGGGGTCTGGGGAATGTCTGACTTCGTCTCCATCCATCTCGCTTTGTTTACTGTTGTACTGAAACACAAAAGGGACACAGACAGACGCCACCAGTTTGACGTCATGACCTCACAGCTGACTGGTCTCTTCTGGGGTTCTTCAAATCGTCTAGTGTTTTCTGATTCCTGACCTGGAGCTGGAGAGAAATGAAACTGAGTGGAGGCAATAGGTGGCGCCGGTGCGGTTACAGCGTTTAGGCGACTTATTTATTTCATTCATAAAGCATAAAAAGACATCGACAGTGTCACAACATCAGACACACAAGAAATGAATGAAAAGGAGCAGAAAGAAGAAAAAATCTTCTGCTTCTGTAAACTCTGAGCACACTCGCCGTTTGTGACGCTCGCCGTTTGTGACGCTCGCCGTTTGTGACGCTCGCCGTTTGTGACGTGGTCGTGTCCAGTGCACATGCAGGACACTTGTGTGTGATCTCCAGTGTGAACTTTAAACACCACAAAAGTCACATTTAACTGGAAATGTGAACAACCTCACAAAAAATCAGAACTGAGCTTTAATTCCTGCAGTCTGAACGGAGCTGAAGTGGACCGTACCTGAACACTCGATCAGTCCAACGAAGCTCATCGATGATAGCGCTTACAGGGGCCAATTTTAGGAACAGCATTATTTTTTATTTAATTTTTTTACTGTCAATATTGTAAAATAAACCCCCAGGATCCTGTAGAGGGGGCTAATACGAACATTTAAGATGAGAACGTCGAGTGTCACAGCGGCAGGTTCAGAGACGAGCCAAGGTTTTTCTATAAAGTCCTTTGTTTGCAGAAGCTCTTCACTCCCACGCTCACTTTGTATTCAGAACACAGAGACCAGAGGACGACTCGTGTTTATTTACATATTCACTCTGTGGCCCCGTGTCCGTCTCTGA